GTGTGTGTGTGTGTGTGTGTGTGTGCGTGTGTGTGAGCGCATGTATGGTGGTTATATGTGGTGGGGGGCTGGACATCGAAAGCCCCACCGAGGCCCCCTCCGTCGGCTGGCCCCTCAACTACCAGGCCGGCACGCGATCGGACCGCGCACTTTGCGCGCGAGTGCGACTGTGTTTGCTGACGGAAGAAAACCCGGCGCCCCCGATCACCCCGAGACGAGGATCTGGCCTGCCAAGTTTACCTGGTCCCTTTTCCGGGGGCCGACCCTGGCCCTGGCGCAATGTCCGCATGTTCCAAGGCCGGCTCTGGCCGATCCCTGTAATTACATCGGTCCGCGCCCCGTGGATCAGCCCATGCACGCCTGCCTGCATGTTTGTGCATGTTTGTGCATGTGTGTGTCTGTCTGTGTGTGTGTGTGTCTGTAAATCTTTATGTTGGCCTTGTAGCTTGATGCGCGAGCTGCGGGGGCTTCCCCTCGGCGGCCAGCTCGCGGCTAGATCCGATGCTCACGGCATGGAATAGGGGCGCCAGGCGCGAGCTCCAGGGGTGGGCTCCAGGAGCAGGCTCTGGGAGCTTACTCCCAACAGCGCGGGACCCGACATTGTCCGGGCAAAGGCCCCTCCCGGAGCATCCACCACCCTGTTGAGGGAGCAGCTCACCCAAAAGGGAGCACCATCGGCTCGGCAGCCGCCAGCAACACTCACACCCCGATCTTGACGCCAGCCGCCGCACCTCCTCTTCCGCCTCCCCTTCCACCTTTCGGCGCACTCACGGACACACGGACACACGGACATACAAATCCATCACCGCCCGCTCGCCCCTCTTGTCCTCGGTACAAGCGCCATCCCGCACACACAGCTGCGCCAGTCGACTGGGCTTCTCCCCCTTTTCCCAGCCATGCAGCGCCCCGGACATCTAGCCCGGCGCCTGGCTCTGATGGTGCTCCTTCTGGCCGGCGTGCTCCTGGCCGAGCATGGTCGAGCGGCCGACGCACCCGACCGGGGAATAGCCTCGCCCGCGGCCGACGCCGGTGACGAGAGCATCGCCCTGCCGGACCTGCCGGACAGCTGGGACGACTGGCTGCACTGGATCCGGACATGGCCGCCGGTGGACCAACTACTGGAGGATCTTGGCGCCTTGCGTCTGACACGCATCATGGGCCTGCCGGACCCGCGGGTGGCGGCCAAAAACTCCCCTTGGGGCGTGGGGCACCTGGACCTCGCCGAACGCGGCATCATCAGCCCCCTGCCGGCACACGCATCCCAGGTACGCGCCCTCCTCCGGTAGCTCCATGGCACCCGGCCTTGTCCCTCGGCCTGCGGTTGCTGGCCGCCGGCGCCGGTCCTCCCTAGCTGGCCGTGGCCATCCAATGACGATGGATTGCTCCTAACAGCAAGCACCCCACTCTTCTGACCGCATTTGGCCGCCAACTGCAAAGTGGCTCGCGAGCACCGTACGCTTCCAAGGCCATCTGGCCCGCGATGAGCCGCTCCACTTGCTACCCCACATCTGCGCGCACAACGCCTATGGCAGCTATTCGCGGCTCGGTACGCGTCTGTCCGCCGGGTCAAGCCCCGCTCAGTATATCGATCTCCCCATGAGGGAAGCCCTCCCGGCTCTTCGGGCCTTTTTCCCCGCCATTGACTCGTTGCTCTGATGACTGCTCACGCGGACGCCGGCACGGCCACTGCTGCTGCTGCTGCTGCTGCTGCTGCGACGTATGTGCGAACGGCCCACTGCTTTATCGGATCTCCGCGGGCATACGTACTCGGTGTCCGTGTCTCGGCATCTCTTCCCCCCAATCCCCTGTGCCCATGTCCACCGGCTGCGCACGCGCATGTCCATCGCCGCTGCCCAGCCTCCCGCACGCGCTTTTGGATCCAATCCCCCCTCCTCGGCGGCGGGGTCATCCCTCACAATCAGGTCCTTTCTCTGACTGAGCTGCTGGAGGTTGGCGTCCGGCGCCTGGAGCTGGATGTGCATTACGTCCCGGGGCTGCTGCCCCACGCGCCCGGGCTGGAGCCCCTGCGCCTGTGCCACGGCGGCCGAGCTGCCGCACAGGTATGCCCCGCCGGAGCAAGATGGCGTCGCCACATTCCCACCCCGCCCCCTCCCCCCCCGCCCCTCTAGCTTTTCTGAGCCATCCGGATTGCTGACCTTCCCCTGCCGATTGGCCTGCTCGGATGTAGTTGTGCCCCGCCGTGGTTGGAGCGTTTCCCATGCTGAGTTGCCGGGATCTGACCGGCTACTTTGACCTTGGGCACCACACCGGCTGCACGCCGGAGTCCCAATCGTGGCACGGCGGCCTCCAGGAGATTGCCTCGTGGCTGAAGGACCCGCGCAACAGGTATGTGGTTGATGATTTTGAGAGTTTCTGCTTGGCCTTTCTGCTGCCCCTGCCGGCAACCAACACCACATGCTGGCTGCATATATGGGCGATTTCTCACCCGAGCACCCCTTGCCTCTGCTGCCCGGGCGATGCATGTGTGTACACCCGCACACACATGCGCACACACACACACACACACACACACACACACACACACACACACAGGGATGAGATTGTCTTCCTGGAGATCGAGGACATCATGCAGGGCGCCAGCGAGGAGGAGTTCCTGGGCCCGCTTTTGGCGGCCTTCACCTCCGGGGTAGGCGGGACCCCGGGCGACATGCTCTTCCGGCCGGCGGATCTGGCAGCCTGGCAAGCGACCCAGATCTCGTCGGCAACTGCCATGCAGCACTGGCCGTCGCACAATCAGCTCCGACAGATGGTCCCCCACGCCCGGGTGGTGTTCTTCGGCCCGAGCTCCGAGGTGAACTCTCTCCACCGGCGCTGGCCAGAGACTCGGGTGTGGATGCACAACCTGGAGCCGGCATTCGACTATCCAGGTACGGGCCTTTATCTCTGGTCCAGGGAGAGGGGGGGGGGCCGCGTGCGCCGGGGGTGCGGGGGCGGAGTGTCCGGCCACGCTCTTCGTTCCCCATGTGGCCCAGTACCCATTAACCTCACACATTGGCGCGACCGGGCGGGGGAAAAAAAAAAGACAACATGGTCAAGGAACATGAATCCCGGGGCGGATGCACGCTGGAGCAATTCCGGAGGGCGGCTGCGGGGCAAGCCGTCGCCGGGACCCCGGCGAGCAAGCACACTCAAGAGGCCCTGCTCTTCGATCGAATCTACGAAGACCGGACCAAGGTGTCGATCAACATCGTGCGCAACAACATCGTCGACTATGTGGGCCGGCGCGATGTCGGCATGCTCACACCGACCCTGGTGACCGAGTGCGTGCTCCCTGCGGGCAGGGATGGTGGGGATCGGCGCATGGCAAACCCGTGTGTTTCAGCGGGGAGGGGGGGGGGAGCATGGCCGCAGAGACCGGGTCGGGCAGCCGGTCACAGCCATCGGACCCACCGAGGCCGACATGGCCACACCAGCCGGCCGGGCGGGCGCTGGCCAAGAGCCGGAGAAGAGACCAAGGGGGGAGAATTGTTGTTGTTGGACTTTTTTTCTTGGCCAGCCCGCTTGCCATGAGACTCACCTTCTGAAATGGACATGCACACACCGGCTGCTGGCGGGGTTCCACCATGGCGGCTGATGCAGCATCATGCAGTGCCGGGCGTCTGCATGTGCCGATCATCTTACCGAGCAGCGGGTGGCCCAGCAGTACGTGTGGTCCTTTGCGCCGGGACATGGGCATCGTGCCTGCCGGCCCGGGGGCGTGCACACTGCCATGGTTTTGGCCGGCTGGGCGGCCGTCGGCCCGGAATTTGCTGCCCTCGAGACGGACTACCCGGCGGCGCCGAGAGCCCTGACCGAGGGCCAGCGCCTGGCCCTGTCTCGCGCTCTTGGGTCTGCGGTGGGCCGGCGCCTGACGCACATCGGTGGCCTGGAGGTGGAGGAACTGGCCATCGTGCCGGCCGGCCGCTGGGTCACCATCGGGACCCATGCCAAGGGCGCCGCGACGGCCATCCAGCGGGAGGTGTCCGACCCGCTGGCCCTGCCGGTAGCCTGCCGCAACAGGGTCTCCGGCGAGTGGCATCTCACCACGAAGCATCACGTACGTCCTGTGGCCGGCCAAAAGGGGGCGGCGGCGAGCAGGCAGGCCGCCTTGTGTTGGGGAGCTCCTGTCCTTCGCCCAGGAGATGTCGCATGCGGCCAGTCGCCGGATAGGATGGATAATGCCATCGGGGCGGGGCAGGGGGGCCGGAAGGAGGGGTCAGGAAGGCCGCGTGCTGTCCAGCCTGTTGGAGTGGGAAATTAACTTGTCCGGTGTTCGGCCTTCCGGTGGGCTTCGGGCCGGCTGCGCCATCCTTTGCCTCATGACAGCGTGCCAGCGACAATCGAGCAAATGCATGCGAAGAGCTCGCCCGGCAGATCGGCATCGGGCCGAAGTTGCTGGTCGCCGCCTATCCAACGACACCGCACGAGAACCGTCTGCTGATTGAGGCGGCTGCCAGCTCGGACGTGGCCATCGGTACGTGGGGCCGCCCTTTGGTGGGTCCCCTTGCTGCCCCTACAAGCTGGCCAGGCCGCCCGGGTGTCTCGCCCAGGGGCCGGTCAAGCTCCCAGGGGTGGTTGACGATTGCATGGGCAATGAGCACTGACCGACGGCTCGTCGTACACTTGCGCCGTCCACCGGCCGGCTTGGCTTCCGCGGTACCTGGGCTTGGGATTGGGTCGCGTGCTGAATGGCGCGGCGCCGTGCGTCGTCGCCGGTCCTCTTCGCCCCTCCCCTCCCCCTCCCCCCCCCTCCTCCGCACCCTTTTACGGCGAGACAGGCATGGTCTGGATCGGCACCCCGGTGATCGACATCACGCTCGCCGAGGCCAGTCGCATCCGCCAGGACGCCAGTCACGAATGCCACACCCGGTGGAGCGACATCTTCCCCTCCGAGGGTCTGTTGACCTTTCGCGAAGCGTCCGAGGTTCTTCAGCTGCAGGCCAACTCCGCCAGGCCTTCGATCGCCGGGGCTTCAGTGCGTCTGATCTCCCTGGCTCGGCTGCAGGAGGCCCTCTCGCGTGGGGCGTCCTTCCTGGCGACGGCCGCCGCATCGCTCAATGGTCCGGCAAGGCAGCAGCAGCAGCACCATCAACAAAAGTCCCAGTCCATGGCTGGAGCCGCGAGTGACGCCGTGTCGGCCGCCGTCCTCCGGGACCTTGAGGCCACTTTGCGGTACTTTGTTCTGCAGCAGCGACCGCCCGGCCTGGCGGAGGCAGCCAAACTGTCGACCATCGACCCGGCCCCTGGGCAGGGGGAACAACCGGACGCCGGGAAGTCCTCCTCATGGGTGGGAGACCTTGTCGGCGCTCCATCGGAACTTCTCCTGTGGGCTGGCCTGCTGGTGGCCTTGGCCCAGTCCTCGTTTACACTCCTTCTCTGAGCCGGGCAAATGACCGGCGGGCAGGGAACCCATTCGCTGAGCGAGGGGTTGGGTGAGCCGAGCGCCGAGGAGGACCTGTTGCATGTGCCGACTAGAGGGCCTACGGTGACAGTCTTGCCTCGGCGTGGGGATTGCTCTCAGAGCAGCCGCGCCACCAAGTAGGCCGGATTACCGACGAGCACACCCAATCACACACACACACACACACACACACACACAGGGA